TAGTTCCAGGAACTGAGGCGTCTGTTGCCTATCGCTGGGGTGCTGGCTCTTCCACACGGGATTAATTGTCCTGAAGCAAGGGGCGCGTGTCCCCTGAGGGGGGTCAGGGAGGCCTGGACGCGCTAAATCCTGAAGCTTATTTTGAGGAGGCCAGGTTTGTGATTTCAGCAATGAAAGCTGGATGCACAAAGCAAGAATCACACTTGCCTCAATTGCTAAAGGCATGTTGCCTCGCCAGGTCGGCTCTGGAAAGCAAGGCTTTGCTTTGCTCTCCAGTGCCTAAAACAGTGCCTGCACATAGGCACACGGTAGGTACCCGATAAATAACATTTGCACAAATGAGAAAATGCCACCAATCTCCTAAAGCCCAGACCTCAGTTCCAACCAATATGGTACAAAGGGCATGGGTTTTGGGCTTCCCTGGTGGCGCAGTGGTTAAGAATCCGCCTGCCAATGCAGGGGACACGGGTTTAAGCCCTGGTCTGGGAAGATCCCACATGCCACGGAGCAACTAAGCCTGTGCACCACAACTACTGAGCCTGCACTCTAGAGCCAGCGAGCCACAACTACTGAGCCCACATGCCACAACTACTGAAGCCCGCACACCTAGAGCCCATGCTCTGCAACAAGAGAAGCCACCGCAATGAGAAGCCCATGCACTGCAACAAAGAGTAGCCCCCGCTCACAAGAGAAAGCCCATGCACAGCAAGGAAGACCCACTGCAGCCAAAACATAAATAAATAAATTTATTTTTAAAAAAGCATGGGTTTTGGAGCTGGACAGAGTTGGAATCCTAATTCTGACACACACTAGCCATGGACATGTGTGAAATGGAAATAAAAACACTCAGCTTATGTTATTGGGACCATAAATAAGATTGTAGTAAATCTCCAGACATAGAGAAGGCATTCAACCAGTTTTTCCCCTCAGTAATCTAATGCTGTGCTACCTCAGTTTACCTGGTGCTACCCAACACTCTTCAGCCTCACATGACACCCTTACACACACCATGTCCATCCCAGACACACCCACGCTCACTGGTCCCCTCTACGGCCTCCGCGTCATCTGCACTCTCCACCTGCTCCTGTCCCACTGGCCTGTCACTCTCAGTCACTGGCACTTAATCGCACCTCCTGGGATTACTTCATACTTTCTCAGGTGTTTGTCTTGAAATTCTCTTGTATCGCTTCAAGGCCTGGCATCATGCTGCGTGTGCACGAGGTTTAGCAAAGGCTCGTTAAATCAGAACGAGGGTGGACTTAGCTGGAAAAGACCCCATGCTGGGTCTGTCGGTGAAGCCCGCCCTTCCTGAAGTACTGGTTTCAGACCATGGGACCTCGTGCTTGGCCCTGTGTCCTTGGGCCTTTTTTTGAGTCCTTTAGCGGTGACCATCACACTAGAGGGTACCAGTAGAAAGATGGCCTACGATGGAACCTCAGTCTGGCTACCTGGGAGTTGGAGGTATGCCCACAGCTGTGCCAACAGCAGTGGAGATTAGAAAAATCATTTGATCAGGCCCTACGCTCTGCTTGTGCTTGCTAGAAACATTCCCCAAGGTTCTGTTTTGGCCTTCTCACTGCTTACTCTGTGCCACCCCTAAACTGGCATTCCTCTCTGGGTCACTCAGACCATGATTTCCTCCACCTCACCAAGTGGTCAGAGGCTATACCTCTTCCCATCTGCACTACCCTTGGGTAGCCTCTTGATTCACATTCAGAAAACCCACCAGCTTTGACATTCCTCCAGCTAATGTGCTCTCCTGGCCCCTGTACCTCAGGCCATCCATGATCCAGGAAGGCCCCCCCTACATTAAAACCCTACCTGTCGGGCTTCCCTGGTGGCTCAGTGGTTAAGAATCCGCCTGCCAATGCAGGGGACACGGGTTTGAGCTCTGGTCCAGGAAGATTCCACATGCCGTGGAGCAACTAAGGCCGTGCGCCACAGCCACTGAGCCTGCACTCTAGAGCCTGCGAGCCACAACTACTGAGCCCACGCGCCACAACTTCTGAAGCCTGTGCACCTAGAGCCCGTGCCTCGCAACAAGAGAAGCCACCACAATGAGAAGCCCAAGCACGGCAACGAAGAGTAGCCCCTGCTCGCCGCAACTAGAGAAAGCCCACGCCCAGCAACGAAGACCCAACGCAGCCAAAGATAAAATAAAATTTAAAAAATAAATTTATTAAAAAAAAAAAAACCCTACCTGTCCTACAAAATCCCTTCTCCTCCGTGAAGGTTCTCCTGTTCCCTTAACCCATGGCATCGACACAGCCTCCGCGCATTGGACAATAATGTCAACATTGCTTTATGACATCTCTTGGTGTCCTTCTACCACTCACAGTACCCCTCATCTCTGGATCAGGTTGTAAGCTCCTTGGGAAACACACAGTGTAGCTTAATAGTTGTATTTTCCTGGTTCATAGCATGCGGCACCTGCCCCACAGTTGTCACTGGGTCCCCCGAATGCAAAAACAGAGCTTTTGGTGATGCCCAAGGGTGGGCAGGCCCAACTATGAAGGTTTCCTTGAATATCTCAGTGGATGTTAAATGGGACCATGGGGGCCTTATCTCCCCAACAAGATTTTAACTTCCTCGAGGACAAGGACTGTGTCACAGACCTTTGCCACTCCACAGCACCCAGCCAGGATGATGCTCAAGAAATACTTGGGTTTTCTGGAGGAGATACTTGTGTTCTGTGGGAAAGGCTCACAACTTGTGAAGAATGTTCTTATTGTCAGAGACGCCAATTTTTTTTTTTTTTTTTTTTTTTCCCGGTACGAGGGCCTCTCACTGTTGT